GTGTGTGTGTGTGTGTGTGTGTGTGTGTAGTGTGTACCAGAGGACAACTTAGCCTAGTTCTGGGGATGGAGGGCAGTCACCCGCTGAGCCATCTCACTGACCCTGATGTACCTGTTTGTTTGTTTGTTTATTTATTTATTTATTTTTATGTGCGTTGGTGTTCTGCTTGCATGTCTGTGTGAGGGTGTCACATCACTTGGAGCTGGATTGCAACAGTTGTGAGCTGCCGTGTGGGTGCTGGGAATTGAACCTGGGTCCTCTGGAAGAGCAGCCAGTCCTCTTACCTGCTGAGCCATCTCTGCAGGCCCTGCTTGTTTTTTTATTTAAGACAGGGAGTTGCTCTATAGCCAAATTAGCCTCATACTCAGGACAGTCTTTCTGCTTCAGCCACCTTAGTGCTGGGGTTACAGATGCTCCACTACCATGCTCCTCTTAGACTTTCATTTTCTTTCTTCCAATAGTGGGTTTGAGAACAGGGCTTTGTATATGCTGCTGGCACATGTTCTGCCACTGGCCTATATATAATATCCCCAGTCCAAGCACCCGAGTTGTGTTGTTTTGAGACAGTCGTCCAGGATGGCCTTGAACTCCTGATCCCCTTGTCTACCTCCCAAATGCTTCGATTACAGGCCTGTGCACCAAGCATCTGATTTTTAAGCAACACAAGAACATTAGTTCTTTTGTGGGCTTGTATTACATTATTTGACATGAGTGTCAATTTTAGAGGCTTAACATTTATAGATGGTTGTTTGTGGCCACTGGTTACAGTATTTGGAGTATTTTTAGGATCAATTGTGTGGGTCCAGCACAATTCAGCCTTCAGAGCACCTGTGAGGTATGTGGTGGTAGTCTGTTTCACTGATCAGAGAAAAGGTGCCCAGTGACAAGTGGTTACTCTGGTGGAATATAAATGCAGTTTAGGAATTGTAGTCTATATGCTTCTGCTCTATTTTACTGAATTGTTCATCTTACTATTTTTTGTTTGTTTGTTTGTTTTACATTGCTTTAGGCCAAACACGAACATGATCTTTTGTGTTCAAGGCTGTCTTGAGGGAAAAAAATTGTGACTACCAAGTACTGAACATAAAAATTAACCTACAGGGCTGGGGAGATGGCTCGGTCTGTAAATTGCTTGCTTCAGAAGTATGAGGACCCCAGTTGAAATCACCAGAACCCAGGTAAAAAGCTGGGTGCAGTGGCGTGTGCCTGTAATACAGTGATGGCCATGTAGGCAGATTCCTAGAAGTTCATCGGCTAGTTAAGCCTGGCCTACTTGGCAAAGTTTCAGGCCAATGAGAGTCACTGTCTCAAAAAGTAGAAGGCTTCTGAGGAACTACACCCATGCACACACTTGAACTTTACTTTGTATTTGCACATTCTCATATATGAATGATGTAGAGAGAACAGATTTCAGGGCCCATTTCAGTGGCTGGAATAAGAATTGGAAAGGCGGTGGTTCACACCTTTAATCCTAGCACTTGGGAGGCAGAGGCAGACGGTTTAAGGCGAGTCTGGTCTACAGAATCAGTTCTGTAGGACAGCTACACAGAGAAACTCTGTCTCAAAACAAAACAAAGCAAAACAAAACAAAAAGAATCTGAAGAGGTGTTGAAGAAGCTGCCTTAGCCGGGTGTGGTGGCCCATGCTTTTAGTTGACAGCACTTGGGAGATAGAGTCAGGTGGATCCCTGTGTTCGAAGGCTGGCCTGGTCTACAGAGTGAGTGCCAGGACAACCAGGGTTACAGAGAGGAACACTGTCTTTTTTTTTTTTTAAAGAATTTTTAAAGATTTATTTATTTATTTATTGTGTATAGTGTTCTGCCTGCATTTTTGCCCACATACCAGAAGAGGGCACCAGATTTCATTACAGATGGTTGTGAGCCACCATGTGGTTGCTGGGAATTGAACTCATGACCTCTGGAAGAGCTGCCAGTGCTCTTAACCTCTGAGCCATCTCTCCAGCCCCCAGAACACTGTCTTGAAAAGACCAAAAAAAAAAAAAAAGCTGCCTTATAAACAAAAGACATTCAGATCCAGACAATTCTGAAAAACATTGGGCTGTGTATGTTATATTCAAGTTGTCTCAGAACTTTTTTGAAGGCACTAGGCAGACAAACGTTGGGTTTATTTACTTTGGGGGGAACCATGTTTCTTGTTTCCCAAGCTAATCCTTAGCTGTAAGACCTGGAACCTGATCCTCTACCTCCTGAAGGCTGGGATTATTTTTGTCATTATGTATGCTTTATCTGGTGCTGGGGATTGAACCCAAGGCTTTCTGCATGTTAGGCAAGCACTCTGCACACTGAACTACATCCTCTTTTTTTCCCCCCAAGTTTAAACAAACCACAGGCATTTATTTACTTATTTTTATGTTTATTTACTTATTTATTTTGGTGTGTTGGTATTTGTATGTGTGCATGTGAGGGGACATATGGGGAGTTCAGAGGACAACCTGTGGGAGTTGATTTTCTCCTACTTGGTGAGTCCTGGGGATTGAACCTGGGTCAGGTTTGGAAGCAGGTGTCTGTATCCACTGAGCTATCCTGACAGCCTCTGACTTATTTTTTTAATATGGTGTCTGATATTAACCCTATTCCTTTTCTTTGCTTTCTCTGATTGTCCGATAAATCATGAAAAACTGTGTTTCAGATAATGAGCCTGCTGAAGAAACAATTTTTTTTTTTTGTTATTGTTGGAGTTATGGTCTCAGGAGTAGCTCAGGCTAGCCTTGAACTCGTGATTCTCCCACCTCAGCTTCCTGAGTGCTAAGATTACAAGCAAGACCACTCCAGGATTCAAACAAGGTTACATCCATTTGATCTTCTGTATTACCCAGGGATACCCTGCTACATGGAGAATGCAGCTTGTTGGCTGATGAACCCTTCCAAGAGTGTACTTTACCCCTCGCTCTGAGAGAGTTCACTGACAACTAAATAATTATTTATTTCTATTGGAAAAGCCATCAGAGGTTAGAAACCCTTGTTTTATTGTCTTTAATACTTTTCTTTCTTTTTAAAGACAGGGTCTCTCTACATAACCCTGGTTGTCCTAGAACCTCTGCCTCCCGAGTGCTGGGATTAAAGGCATGTACCACCATGCCCGGCCTTATATTACTTTTCTAAGGCAGTTGAAATTAGTAGGAGCTAATTTGTTTTGTAACTTGTTATCCTGGTTTATAGTAATGTTTTAGCCCATGTGTTGCTTGAACAGTGTGGTTTCCAGACTGGTTTCATCCTAGATTTCTGAATTAGAAGGGAGATGAGGGGCTTGTGTAAGAAATGTAAAGTATTTTTAAAATTACATTTAATTTGGGCCGGAGAGTTGGCTCAGCAGTCAAGAGCATTTGTTGCTTTTGCAGAGGGTCTGGGTTAGATTCCTAGCACCCACATGGTGGTTCACAACGGTCTGTAACTCCAGCCCCAGAGAATCTGCCTTCTTTGGAACTCTCAGGGCGCTAGGCACACATGAAGCTCACCTATACACATTCAAGCAAAACATCCATAAACATGAAATAATAAAATAATCTGGAAGAATAACAGTGTTGTGTGTGTTTGGGCACATGTGCTGTCATTCACACGTGGAAGTCAGAGGATAAGTTACAGGAGTTGGTTGTAGGTGGTTGTTAGACAGCATGCCCTAGGTATTTAGGTCTCATTATTCAGTGAGGTAGGGGTTTTTGTGTGAGGGAGAGTGTGTGTGTGTGGTGCGTGCAAGTGAGAATTGGGGTGCATGTGCTCAAAATGTACGCATGGTCCTGAGCAGGATTTAAGATGTCTACTATTTCTGTGTGGTTGCTTGAGTCAGGGTCTCTTACCCACAGGAAGCTTACCCTATGAGCAAGGATGACTGGGCAGTGAATTCTGAGGACTCACTGGTTTCTATCCCCTCATATTGAGGTTACATGCATGTATGGCTATGCTGAGTTTGTTTTTTTTTTTAATGTGCAATCTAGGGAGTGTGCTTTCAGAGCGTAAGTCTTCATTTACTGAGCTATCTTCCCCCTCCTTTCAATTTCCAGGTGGAAAAATAAGGCTTAATGAATCTTTAAAAAATTGTTTGAGATATAATGACATACAGTAAAACATCATTTTGGCAATATATACACGGTAAAATGTACAGGTGTGTGGAAGTATGGGAACACTGGGATCAGAGCCCCCTTTGTATTGTGGAGGGAAAGCTTTTTGAAGATGG